CCTGCGCCGCTCCCGCCCTGGCTTTTCAGGCCACGATCTGGGCTAACAGCCCAGACTCTCCTCTTCCCACCCCCCAGCCCTCACCCTGGTGAAATAACTGCCTTTTCTCTTTTTCTAGCCGAACAACTACATTTGTCTACAAAGCCATTGTTTGGTAGAAGACGTAAAAAAAAAAAAAAAAAAAAACAACGTGGTATTTTAAATCGCTCTCCATTGCCCAAGTGGCAGCTGCCATACTAGCAGAGCCTTCAGACAAACCTCGGCCCCTTCCCTGCCTCTTTCTTCTCCCCTAAACACTACGTAGCTCTCCTACATCTGCTAACAAAATACCAGGGTGCTACTGCGTTCAACACGAGGACTAGTGATAACGCAGTTTTCTCCAAAACAGCTTCCTCCTCCTCAATCATGACGAGAACATACTGTCAGCCATATCCATGTGGGTTTTTTCAACATTGAACTCATCTGGAAAATAGAAGTCTTTGCTTGGTTTTAGGGATTTGCAGGGGACAGGCAGAGAAAAGCAAAATCAATAGATTTTGTCACCATTTGCCTGCCTGTCCCACAAGTGTAGACCCCTTTATGATTTAGTAAGTACAGAGAAAAACATGAAAAATTAAATCTATGTGTTTCAGGTTTGTTTGTATTTGTTTGTTTGTTTGTTTTTTGGCTAATTTCAAGCCCCCGGTCTAAGACTGGAAGCACCCGGTCAAGCTAGTGAGAATCTACACCTTATCTACTACACCACCTGCTGGCCCCAGGGTTCAGACTCTAAGGCTGTGTGGTTCAATGAGCATTAAAATCTGATATAAGGTATCTGGGATCAGCAAAGATTTTCAGAAAAGGGCCAGATAATAAATGTTTTGAACTTCGTAGGCCATATGGTCTCTGCAGCAGCCATATACAGCAATAATTCAGTAGTCATGGCTATGTTCCAATAAACCTTTACCTATGAACGTTGAAGTCTGAATTTCATATGATTTTCACAAAATACTGCTTTTGTCCCAACCATTTAAATGTGTGAAAAACCATTTTTAATTCACTATCTGAACAAAAAGAAGCAGCTGGCAAGTAGTTTGCCCACTCCTAATTTATGTTATATAAACTAAATAAACTCCATTTTCAGAACCCAATTTGAACAAATTTTGATCCATTTAGTAAATACATGTCATGGGCTTTCAAGGTTTATATATTGATTTTCAATTGCATGATTTTAAGTAATCTGCAAAAATATTGACATAGCATAACTTTTAGGATGCTTATGTAACAAAATTTCTAACATTAAAATTTTTTGTGCAAATTTTTTATTTTTGCTCTCACCATGTGCTCTCACTAGAGAAACAGAGAGACAGAAAGTGAGAAATCACCCCCCATGGGGGATGGCTACACCACAATCCCTTCTCCATTCTCCTCTCAGGCTTTTGGGCATACACACACATGTATCTGGTGTGAGTTTTAAGCCTCTGGGTCCAGGATTTGAACTGTGGTTGACTATGTGGGAGTACAACGACGTAACCATTATACCATCTGCTGGTCCCCCTCTGTGCAAAATTTAGACTACAGTTTCTGCTCCAAAAATACTAATATTTACAACTTAACCAATTTATCATTATTTTTCACATTTTCTTCTTTGTGGATCAGAAGTAGGTTTAATTAGTTGTGCTATAATAACAAGTGTACATCGTTTCCATGTCTACAGTTGACCAAGAATTGTACTGTTGTTAAGAAAAAAGTTCTCAGCTGCTGAGTTTTCTTCAGATTTAGCAGATTTTAAAAATTCTTTCATCAGTTGTAATTTAATAAGTAGGCACAAGCAAAAGTAAAGCATAATAATCAAGCATATTCTTGGAGCTAAAAGAAACCATCTTATGAGAGACCATGATTTTTTTATATCTTAAAATTATTAAATGACAGATAAGAAGTTGTGTAGG